ACACACGCACACACACGCACACACACACACACGCACACACACACACACATACATACATACATATATATATATATATATATATGTATATATCTGTATATATATATAAAACCTACAAGTACATATTACGCCGCTACAGAAGCTCGTCATGTTTGATGGGAGCGTCAAGATGATGCAGGTTTCGTCTGTTATTTCTGCGCGAGCGGGCGGGCGAAGGCTGACCCCTGTCCCGATCGCGCCAAGCTGCCCCCCTTTCACCCCTAGAATCCTAGCGGGCTGGGTCAATAGCGGTCGGATCAAAGATCCAGGCTTTCTAAATCTGTGATTTAAAACGGGATAGTTTGACATCCGGACGTAAAAAAACACACGGTTTTTGAAATCCCATTGGGCGGGATATTGCCTTGCCAACTCAAGATGATGAAATTCCAATTCAGGATGAAACTTTTGTAACGCTGATGCATATGTTCGGTCAGCCGGGGAGCGAAACCGGGGGCCAACAGCTGCGCTGGACCCCCATCCCTGGGGATCCGGCGTCGACCCACAACAAGTCGCGTGGACCTCCGAGAGTTTATGGCAAGCAGGTTTTCTTCTACGTTTCCGCTGTCTCCTCGTCCTCCTCCCGCTCCCCCTCCTCCTCCTCCTCCTCCTTCTCCTCTTCCTCTCCTCCTCCTCCTCCTCCTCCTCCTCCTCCTCCTCCTCCTCCTCCCCCTCCTCCTTATCCTCTTTCTCCCCCACCCGTGCTCCTGTCTCCTCCTTGCCGCAGAGGCTGGCGCTCTTCTGGATGTCCTGCACGCTGAACGGTGGGCTGTCGGGCATCGCCCAGCTGCGGGTTCGCCTCGGCAGGCCCCTCGCTCCTTTCCATTCGGGCAGTGCATCTGCTGACTGTTTCCCTTTTTTCCTTATCTTTCGCTCTCTCTCTCTCTCTCTCTCTTTCTCTCTCTTGCTCTCTCTATTCAATATCGATACGCTTGTATATATATATATATATATATATATATATGTGTATGTATCTGTCTATGTGTATGTAGCTCTACTTGTATATGCATATGTATATGTACATGTATATTTACATATGCAGAGTTATACATGTATGTATGTATGTATGTATGTATGTACGTATGTATGTATGTATGTATGTATGTGTGTATATATATATATGCATATGTGCATGTATGCACATGTGTGTATCTCCACGTATATGTATATATGCATACACGCATTATATTTATGTGTGTCTGCAATTTTGGGGCCTTCTTGGATGTACTCTTGGAGCGTTCTTGCGAATACTTTGGCAAATTCTTGACGCTTCGCGTATCCCCACCAGCTCCACCGTTGTGGCCCTTTTCCGCCTGTCCTGTTCGGTTGGCCTGTCGTTTGACTACTGACGGCGCGCAGCTGCCTGCGTCACTCGCGATCAAGAAAGTATCCCCACCAGCCCATCCAGAAACGATGCCCATGAGAGCTGACGGGGGGAGAGAGGAAGAGGCACGCATAGTGAAATAGCGAGGGAGGCCTGGGAGGCTCTGTGGCCATCTCGAGCCGTCTTGGAGCGGTCTTGGGGCCGTTTGGAGCATCTTGGGGGCCATCTTGAGCCAGCTTGGGCTATCTGAGCCATCTTGGAGGCCATCTTGGGCTTTCTAAGGCCGCTCGGAGGCCTCTTGGGGGCCTCCCGGGTGCCTCTAGGAGGCCTCTTAGGGGCGTCTTAGGGCGCTCTTTAGGCCCTCTTGGGGTTCTCTTGGGAACCCTGGGGGCCCTCTTGGGGCCATCTTGGAGGCTATCGATCAAACAAGGGGGTTTCTTTATCTCCGTCCCCCCTCTCGGGGGTCACGGTCCTCGTGAGGGGTTGGAAAGAATGCCCCTCCCAGGGGCCGAAAAAGGACGCTCCAACTCGTCGCGACCCCCTCTCAAAACCTCAGGGAGGGGAGGGGGAGGACTCCCCCCCCGAAGGGAAGAGGAGTTGTGGAAGAGGAAAGAGACCCTCGTTAGACCACCTGCCGCCCAAAGGGCTGGCGGGATTCGCAGAGCGCTGCACTCCGACGTGGAGCCCGAACAGTCCGAGAATGTGGGGCCCCAGCCCCTGGAGCATTTATGACACAGGGTTCAGGACAGAGAACAAACGAGTGCTTGGGGAGCACTCTTCTCGCGCCTGGCGACGCGGTGGCGGATGTGTATGTGCGTTTGCATTTGCATTTGCATTTGTATAGGTATTTGTAGTTGTATTTGCATGTGTGTTTGCATTCGTATTTGTGTTTGTATTTGATTGTATGTATGTGTGTCTGTATTTATGTATGTATATATGTATGTATGCAGATGTATATAAGTACACACCTATATACCCATACATTCTGCAACATAGGTTGTAATCGATGTGGTGCACCCCCATGTGGTGAACTATATTTGGTGCGACATGGTATAGTTGAAGTGGTGGAATATGTGTTTTGCAAACCATGTGGTGCCATGTATGCTGAGCAAGCTATGTGGACCAACATCAGTGGTACAATCGATGTGGTGCAATCTACGCTGTGCAGACATGCTGTGCAATCCATGATGTGCCGCATCCGCTGTGCAATCTATGGTGCGCAGTGCATGCGCACATCGACACAGCCAGTTGCATATACGTGCACGTAAATGTGCTGTGCAATCCAATCTATGCTGTGCAACCTATTTGTTTGCAATCTATGTGGTGCGATCCATGCTGTGCAGTCCTTGTTGCGGCAGCGAGGCGGCGACGGGGCGGCGACGGCGGCCGCGCAGCCGCCAGACCGAGGGCACGGCCCAGACTCGGGGCGGCGACGGGCGGCCACGGGGCGGCGACGGCGGTCAAGGTGCAAGCGCTGCTCTGGGAATGCATATCTGTACATACGCACAGATGTCCACACGCGTTGTTGTGAATTGTGGCTGCTTCTTCTCTATTGTCGTGCAGTCTCTTCTCTGCTATCTGCCATACTATGCTTTCAAGCGTCATCTCTACTCTTTTCCCCTCCGCCCTTCTACAGTTTTTTGTGTATGCACTCTGGTCCCGACTTTCTCTCTCTCTCTCTTTCTCTCCCGCGTTCCCTATGTTTTTCCTCTCTCTCTTGCTCTCTCTTCTCTCTCTCTCTCTCTCTTCTCATACCTCGAGGCAGGGTCTAGGGGCTTCTTGGGACTCTTTGGGTTCTTCGAGATGCTGCGGCGAAGGGGAGGCGGAGCAGGAGGAGGACAACTGATAGGTAGAAAGGACGGGAGAAGGAGGAAAAGGAGGAGAATCAGTTTGAGGATGAGAATGAGGATGAGGATGATGATGATGATGATGATGATGATGATGATGATGATGATGATGATGATGATGATGATGATGATGATGATGCTGATGATGCTGATGCTGCTGATGACGATGCTGATGAACATGATGATGATGAGGAGAAGGAGGAGGATGAGGATGAGGATGAGGAGGAGGAGGAGGAAGAGGAGGGGGATGAGGAGGAGGAAGAGGAGGAGGATGAGGAGGAGGATGAAGGGAGGAGGAAGGGAGGAGGAAAGATGAGGAGGGAGGACGGAGAAAGAGAGAAAGAGAGAGGGCATATGAGGCAGGGGGAGGGAGGATAAGGGGAACTATCGAAGACGACTGCGGCGAATCATCATGGCCCCCGGCCTTTCTGGAAATGCAGATGTGGTTAAAGGATGTGCCAAGGCTTGGCCAAGCCAACCGCTTTTGAAACCCCCTTTGGGGAACACTTCGAGTCGTTACTGCCGCTTCCCCTGCCTGTATTTTGCACGAGTCAGCGCGCGCGTTATTCGTTTGTTAGAATCGAACGGTTCTGTGGCAGATAGTTGGTTATCGGCCGAACTGATGGCTCAAAGCCAACACGATGACAAACGTCATGAAACAAACCATGGCGTTTCCAGACACGGAAGCAATACCACGACAACCAGTATCAAAATCACGGCGCTTCATTTCGTGTTTCCCAACCCCGCCAGACTCAACATCCGGTAGAGGGAAACAATTAGTGAATACCCCCCATGCCCCCCAAACTCAAGGTTGGCACGCGCGGGGGTCTGCGGTCGAGGTGCAACTCATCAGACCCACGGCCAACTTTGAACATTGGGGGGAGGGGGAGGCGTTCACAGATGAATGTGGCATGAGTGTTCGCTATTTTTTTCCGAGGCCTGTCTGGACGCAAGAGGATCTGCCCGGCTCGCCTTTACCTTCGCAGTCGGACTTGTGTAGACTGAGAACGAGGGCGGCGTCAGGCGACCGGCGACCTCCTCGACCTGGGGAGGGTCAGGAGGGAAAAAACACACAGACACAATGAAGCGTCGATTCCCAAGAGAAGATGGGAAAATATGGGAAGTGGGGGGGAAGACAAAATCCCAAAACATATGCGAAAATATGCGGAATCCTTTTATTTGTGTGTATTTATTTGTGTGTCCTTGGGCCCCTTCAGAGGGGGTAAGCGGTCGAACTGAAGAAGAACACTTTCAGTTTGCAGGTCGACCGGCCTCGTCAGGCGAGGGGCCCCGGGTCGTGTCTTCGCCAGCAGGCGATTGAATGCGGAGTAGACTTGCCGGGGTACCTTCAACGTCGACGCCGAGGCACTCGAACCCTTTGGCACCCACGTCTCGGCTGCCGCGGGGAGGCCCCATCAGATGTTCTGTCTCTTCTCGCCTCTGAAGCGGCTCCCGAGTCACTCGAGACAGCTCAGAGCCGCCTGGGCGGAACGCCCGACGCGTCGGGAAGCAGTCCCCCAGAGATGGCACCGAAGAAGTGGCCTGTCTTCCCGGACGCGGTGAGGGATGGCTCCTCGCCGTGACGCGTCGAGGAGGGCCCGGGAGGGAACACCATGGGAGTGACGGGGTCGGGGGGGGCGAAGAGGTTCCGCCCCGTGCCCGCGCAGTCTCCGGCGCCTGTTCTTCACGCCGCAGGCGCCGGTGAGAAGGTGGATCGGTGACGGACATCCCTGGTGCGCGCGCTGGCGCCAGGGGGCTCTGCCGCTGGGCCATCGCTTCGGCCCGCCAGTGCCGTCGGATGCGATCAAAAACAGCGGAGGGGCGAAGAGAGCGCGCACGGAGGGCCCGCGAGGCGCGAGTGGCAGCCGAGGACCGGGAGAAGCGCCTCGTGGCCCAGGAAGTCGAGAAGAGAGGGAGAAGGTGGCGCTGAGAGCGCGGCAGGCTGGAGAGAGAGCTCGCGTCGCAGAAGGGGCCAGTTCTGAGGAGTCGAGAAGTAGCGATGGCAGAGACGCGCGAGGAGGCCGAGAGGAGAGCTCTTGCTGGGGTGATTTTCAAAGCCTGAAAGGCGGGCGTGATGGCGTTGGAAGCGGGTCGTGATGAAAAGGTAGAGTCAGAGCAGAGCACTGTCCAGGCGTTGCGGGCCAGTCTGCTTCGAGCTGAGAGTGGGGTGGCCGCCGTGCAGGTGCCGGCGACCGATGCCCTCGCCCAGCGACGACCGTGGCGACCGCCGCCGCTTGTGGTGGCGTCGCAACGGGGACAGGCAATGGAAAGACGATTCGGTGCGGCGCGTACAACCTGTTGCAATGTGACGATTGCGTCGGCTGCCAGAACCCCGTTGTGCAGACCGCAGCGATGCGATAGTTCGCTGGCGTCCGAGGTGCCGCGAGAAAAACGCGTCGGCTGCCGAGAAGGCGCTCGGAGAGGCAGGCGAGGTCGATGAGGCGCGACACAGACGGCAGAATGGACAGTCGGATCCCCCCCGCGCGGAATGGCAGGCGCAGCGCTGGCAGAGTCGTGACGGGCGAGTCGAATCGCTGCGTCGCGCTCATCGTGCAATGAGTGCAAACGCTGAAGCACAGACGCGCCTGATCGTGGAAGCGGGCGCCAAAGCCGAAGAGGGGGCATGGCGTCGTCGC